CAATACATCAAGGACCATTTTGATCATTTTCTCAGAATAGAAGTATAAAAGTACACGTGTTTTCTTCTCATTGGTCCATTAAGATTTTAGAGATTTTGTCAAGTCTTTCAATTCAAGCCACAAGAAAAAAAAGAAAGCAGGAAAAAGAAACAAAAGCTAGTTAGAACTGCTCTGTTTCAAGAACTGCAAAAATGGCTTTCAGCTTCAAGCTTGACACTGCAAATCCCAGTTTCTTCACCATTACTAACAAGTCAATCCATGACCCATTACTGAAAATTGCAACAAAAAGACGAATTTTGGGTTTTAAGGTCTCTGCTTCTTCTTCTTCTTCGAGTAGTAGTAGTAGTAGAAGTGCAGAGGTATTTGAAGAAGGACAACTTGAAAGACCTCGATGGTCAGGGGAAACTCCACTTTCACGTCTTGTTGGAACTCTCATTTCCATCAAACCTCTATTTTCTATACTCAAACTTGGTGCTAGACAGGTTTTTATAAGGTCATTTCTACTACTTTCATTGATGCACACTATCTGTTTGTTGAATTGTCTCAATATAGAACTTGACTCAGTTAGAAAATAAACTGTTTCCATTTTATTTTTTTTGAGAGTTTCCTAATTCAACTATGAGTTGTTTGTGTTTCCTGTTCGAGCTATCACCCACCATTTATCAAAAATGCTTTGAAATTAATAAGTCAGCTGCCATGTGAATGGAATTTTATGGGCAAATTAAGTTGTCACCTACCTTTTGATGATTGTATTAAAATACTTAGTCTAGTTAGCTTCGAGGTGTGTTTTGATAAATAGTTGGTGATAGTTTTTTTCTATAAGAGACATAAATACATACAATTCAAATTGGAAAATTGCAAAAAGTGATTTTTTGAGTGTGTTTTTAATCATTTTTGTTATGGTGTTCGGGACTGTTTGCATATCTGGATTAATTCTATGTGTACCTGCTATAACATCCAACCCACAACATAGGTAATTGGTAACTTTGTTTATCAAGACTTGAAACATATAAGAAGAAATCACCTAGTGTTATTGTCTCAAATGGGGTTTAAATTGAGATCTTATTGTTCTCGACCCAATTCACTGACCACACCTTTGGATGCAGTTAGGAAACAAACTATTTCATGTATTATCTTATGAGGAAAGATCCAAATTTTACCCATTTCTTATAGAAAACATTTTAATTCTACCCTTTCCATTATACTTTGGGGACTCTTCGTAGCAAATTTCATGTGCCTTTAGCGGATGGATTCTACATGTCCAAATTCTTCGAAAAAAGGTCTAAATTTATCCCTTTAATTTTGACTATGGTATAAAATTACTGGCCGTTATACTTCTGGTGGGAACTCAGTTAGGTCAAAGGGCAAGTATGGGACAATTTTCCAAGGATAAAGGTATGAATGTCCCTAAAATATAACATTGGTTAAAATTAAGTAGGCTCTTGGACATGAATTGTTTGATATTTGAAAAACAAATACTCTAGTATTTAAAGTTAAAGTTGAAAAATGGTATTTGAAAGCTAGAGTTGTGTTTGGACATGCACTAACCAAAAAATTGGGAAGTATGTTACTCATGTGCAGTCGGATTATTTTTCTTGAATCAGTTACGACATAATTGAAGTATTGAACTCAGAACTTTGTTTGCTCTGATACTATATTGAAATGTATGAGTTAGCTCAATACATTTATATAAGAACTTACTTAAATACATTTATTTGAAGAATGATACAATTTTGGTATTTCTGATGTTATTCTATTTTCTTGAGAAGTTCTTAGAATGAAAGTGAATTGATCTGACTTAGTGGGGTTTGAACAGTACAGCTGAGAAAACTAATATTCCATGGACAGAGATGACAAAGGAGATACTGGATTCGGATGTTTACAAAGAGTTGGAGAGCATTGAGAATCCTGCTATTGTCTACCCTGATTGTGAGTTTCTTATGAAACCTTTTTAGCATTTTGTTCCTTTTCGTAACCCTGCCTGTAAACGGTTCTAACCAGTGGAACAAGAAAGACAAAATATCTGTATTGAGTATGCAATCAAAGGATTTCTTCCCAAAATAGAGAAGAATTCCCTTGCTTTCTTTTTGCTCCACTCATGCCTTGCATTCCTTGCTTGTGGAGCGGCATACCAAAAAAGAGAAAAGGCCTGCATTGCTGATATTGATCTAAAAGAAAAGACGGTAGGTACAACTAGGCCATGAAAAATCAACCATCATACCATAAAATTAGATAGCTTCAATCTATAGTTATTAGGGCCTCCTAAACGACGTACTAAATTCATCGAGCTGTTCCAAGTCGTTCATTTTTACCTCTGGTTACTCAAAAGCCTAATCTATGATTAGAGGTGGACGTGCTGCTTCAAATTTATCCCTTATGTACAATCCATTTTCTAGATTAAAATAGCATAACTAGCATATGCTATTTTTCTAAGATGTCTGTGTTTAGCTCCTGCTGATTCTTAAAAGCCCTCGTAACATCTCATTTCAGGTGACATTGAAAGGTTTGACTTTTACCAATTATAGATCCATTTTTAAATTAAGGAATCACCTTATTCCAAACTGTGAGATGTATAGGCCTAACCATTGTCCTTCGTAACACAATCTCCTCTTAGAATCTGTGTTTAAGAACTTCACAACCTTTTCTTTTGAATTTTTACTATACTGGATCACCCTTCCAAAAGACTAACTGGCTGACACGATGATTTCTTCTTCCAGATTATCTCAATCCCTTCCACGCGTATGATGAGGGCAACCTGTCCTGGCTGGTAAGAATTAAAATCCAACACTTCTTCTGAGTTTAGGCCATAACTTCTTTACATTTGAGTTTCTATTGGTCAAGTCATCTAGGTTGAAATGACTCTTGGTTTCGTTTGTAGCATTGGTTATGTGTGCTTCTTTGGTTCTTTTGTTTCTGATGATTAAGTTATTGAGGTTATGATATGTCCTTCGGGTTATCTGCTTATGGTTCTAGTGTTGATTTCATTTGGTTATGAAGCTGCTTAAAAGTTCAAGTTTGTCCAACTGCTGCATTCTTATTGAGGGAACTAATATGCCTACAACTTTTAGCCCATAAACTGGCTGATTCTAGGCATCACATGGTTTTACTTCCATCATTCTTTTCCACCCACTCCTTTCTATATATATTTTCCGATGTTTTGATATATACGTTATACTCCTTAAGTTCCATTTTATGTGACACTTTCTTTTTTAGTCCATCCTGAAAAGACCATCTTTCTCTATTTGGACAATTTAACTTTCAACTTCTCATTTTACCCTTAATGGCATGCTTTTATAGCCAAAGAAGTCTCATGGTATGTTTAAGACTATAAGTTCCCAAAGTCTTTCCTTTTTTCTTAAATTCCATACCCAGTTACGCCATGTAAATTGAGATGGGGGAGTGTAAGTTACTACTACAGTGGTGCATTTCCAAATCCACCAGAGGAAGACCTCGTTCTCACTATCTGTGATGAAAATATTCAAGGACTAGACCTAAATTCATCTCTATCGCACGAGATCAGAATGAAAGAAGGGAAAACTTCTCCAGAAGTGCCATTTTTGTTATTGCATGGACAAAAGAGTGAAATTTAATTTACTACTGCAGGCTGCAGCTGAAGCAGACGCCGCAACTATGTCGATGGTGAGACGTGCAATACCTAATGCATCTTCACTTGAAGAAGCAAACCAGATAGTGCGCGGAAATTGGCTTGATGCAATAGAAAAACATCATCAGCAATATTCAGCAGATTTCTCAATCAGAGACATTCTTGACATTGGATGCTCGGTTGGTGTGAGCACTGGATACCTTGCAGACAGATTTCCTTCTGCTAAAGTGACTGTGAGTATGAACAAACATTTATAATCATCTGCATAAGAGAAAGAGAAGACTAGATAATGCTATACATTGTAATAACTACTTAAATGCATCTTAACTAAAGTCTACTGTTGATAACTATGATTTGGTTAATCTTAACTATTTAGTATCTTTCTGATTCATGATTGTCTTCTGCAGGGTTTGGATCTTTCACCTTATTTTCTTTCTGTTGCTCAATATAAAGAAAAGAAAAGAAACCAGAGAAAGAATCCTATCAGCTGGATACACGCAAACGGTGAAAACACTGGCTTGCCTTCCGAATCATTTGATCTCGTTTCAATTCCTTATGTGGTATGTTGTCTAGCAAACTTCAGCGATAAATCACATACTTTACAGTAAAATTAGCTTGCATCCTTTTCCTGCACTTAGTATTCCGTTTCATATGAACAGTACAGCAGAATCCATGATAACATCATTTTTTTCAACATATATGGTCCTTGTGACTGCTCAAAGCAACATTAGTTGTTAGATATGTACCCAAGATCGATCAAATAAAAATAAAGGATGTTTACTGATCTTCTAGCGAATCCTATATGAAGTTTGACAACTTCAACTTTCAAATTTCATTTTTCAACTTCAACTTCAAATACTACTTTTTTCAAATATCACTCAATTCATATCCAAACACCTACTCATGGTTAATGGATATCAGCTATAATCATAAAACAGCAATTGAAGGATGTAGATTTTGTTTGAAGAGTATGTTCACAGAATCATCTTCGACTTTTTACTGTGTGCGCAGTTTCATGAATGTCCTGAAAGAGCAATAAGAAATATAGTGAAAGAGTCATTCCGTCTGCTTCGACCTGGAGGAACTATTGCTATAACTGATAACTCGGTAATTTACCAGATCGCTGTAATTAACTGATAATTATTGTTATTAGTACTATTTCACATCATTCTTATTACATTTTCTTGCTTTCTTTTGCAGCCAAAGTCGAAGATTCTTCAGGTATGTCTGTTCTTTCACTTGCACATTTTCAATCACAAACAATTCAATATCGAAGTTTCAAATTGGTTGTTCTGTTATACTCAACAATTCTAACACAAACTACAAACAAACTATTTATGAGTCCAGCTAATGGCGTGAATGGGAATTTTCATCAAGGGGTTAAAAAAATGCTCTGTTATGTTTAGGCGATTCAACAACACAAATTCTTTTTTCCACCTATATACATGGTACTATAATTTTGAGTTAATGGTCAAAAACCTTTCTGAAATATCATGTTTTTGCGAGTCTCATACCTGAACTATAGATGTTTGCATTTCCTACCTGAACTATCACCAACTATTTACCAAAGCATACTCGAAATTAACTAGACCAAGTGTTTGAAATACAATTGCCAAAACGCACATAACAACTTAATTTTTTCATAATATTTCATCCACATGGCAGCTGATAATTCAATTAGGAAAACTCACAAAAACGTGATACTTTTTTTTGTGCCTTATCCCTATATCTTTTGGCGAAGGGGATTTAGATGAACCCCCTTCAGCAAATGTCGCTCCGCCACTGGGTCCAACATCTCTTGTATTTCAAATGTACAGGAATTACCACCAGTGCTGTTTACATTGATGAAGAGCACAGAACCTTTTCTGGATGAATACTACCTGACTGATCTTGAAAGAGTGATAAAGGAAACTGGTTTTGCTAATGTACAAACTGTTCTCACTGATCCCAGACACAGAACTGTTACTGCCACCGTCCCTTACTAACATTCTCCCCTTACTTGCTGAGACATGTTTTCGGAAACAACCTCTCTATCTCCACGAGGTATGGGTCAGCTCTACGTATACTCTACCCTCCCCAGATCCCACTAGCGGGAATCCACTAGGTAAGTTGTTGTTGTTGTTGCTGAGACTTGTTTGTTAGCCATCAGTGCTCAGGAAATTGTAAGGGAAAACATTTATAATCTGTAAAGTTGGAACTGATATTTTTTTTTCAGAAGAAAAGAAAAAAAATGCAGAAAATTTAAATAGTGCTAGTGAACATGAGATTGCATGTTTTTTTTTAAAAAAAATTCTTCTAATTATTTGTTTTCATCTGGAAGAGTTGTGATATTACTAAATTTTAGTAATATATTAAGAGAACCTAAAATTGTATGCATATTAGAAGGGAGGAGTGAATTTTAGAGCCAAGTGATGGGTTTAAATTGCCTCCAAATATGATCTATAGATGATGGAATTTCACGCGACAAGAATCTGGATTAATTAGATGAGTGCGTATCGAATGGTTGAATACCATATGATTATTTTAGAGATTTTAGATTCAAGAAAACTCATGGTAGGATCAGATATGTTTCTCTCCTTGGGTGAATTTCGCACGACAAGAATCTGGATTAATTAGATGAGTTGGCATCGAATGGCAAACAACTATGATTACAGTACCAAATAAATTATGGATAACAAAGAGCAATTTATAGGAATTAGGCGTTTTCACCAGTTTTTTATGTGTGTTGGCCCATGAATATATTGGTGATATGACTTCCAGTTGATTTTTTCACGAAAAAGCTTTACGAAATCCTTTGTAGGGAGTTGAGGAGCAGTACATACAGTCTCACCATTTGTTTGGACATATTTTGGCATTTACGGGTCAATTTACATAAATTAGGCGATTTTCTCAATTTTTCGTGTGTTATTTACCCAATGAATATTTTGGTGATATGGGTTCCTCGATTTTCTTGCGTAACCTTTACAGAACCCTCTATAGGAAATTGGAAGGGGGGGGGGGGGGGGCGGGGAGTGGCTTCCCCC